GATCTTTTGAAGCCTCTAAATCCATCTCAACTTGACAGTCGTTCTTAACTTACATTTTTCTAATGATGGAGAATATACCCTTGTTGTTCCAGTGGTTAATTACAAATTAAAAATATGCACCATGTTTCTAGTATGAATTTTTTCTGGCTTCAGCTTCCAGATTTGATTTATGTTTTTACTTTTCCTAATTAGAACTCTCAAATGTTTGTTCTTCACGTAGGGTACTTAGGGAATGTGATAATCATTTACCTTGTCTTTGATAAACTAAACAAGTGTAGCTTTTTGAGTTATGTTTCCAAACATGGAAATCCACTTCTCTCAGCTCTTATTTGAACTTTTCCAGTTGATCAGTATTCTTCAATTGTTAACAGCAATCAGAACTGAACAGGATTTTCCAGTAGCAGTCAGCTACAGCCATCATGTAACTTCCCCACTTCTACTTAAAATTCCCAGTTGTACATGCAAGATCATATTAGCCCTTTTGGCCAAAGTGTCATACTGGGAAGTCAGTCATATGAGTCATCATTATCTCCCAAACCATTTCTGAGTCACTGTCCTGTAAGTATGGCATGGATTCTTTGTCTTTGATATAGGACTTTACCTTTGACTATATTAAAATACCAGTTTATGAGGTAGTGCACAGCCCTTACATACCACTGTCTTCTCTTTCTCATTATTAACTATTACCTCAGCCTTTGTGTCTTCTGCCACCTATATCAATAATGATTTTATGGTTTATTTGAGGTTGCTGTTAAAAAGTGTTAAATTGCATACGGCCAAAAGCTTCCAGTTGAAAGCCTGATGTTTATTGAGTATCCCCATCTTGGAATCTCATTTTCAGATCTAACAGTTAATCAGCTTTCAATCCAATACCATCACCTTTATCGACCAAACTTGAACTCTCATAAAAATACTGAGTTAGTTTGGCAATCTATTTTCCATAAATCCATGTTGATTAGCATTGATTACATGACGCTCCTCTAATTTTTAAATTCAAATTCTGTATCAGTCATTCCACTATTTTTCCATTCTCTATTTAAAGGTGAGAGGCCTAGAACAATCTGGATTGTCTAGTTTTCTGTATTTAAAGGTGAGAGGCCTATAACAATCTGGATTGTCTAGTTTTCTGTATTTAAAGGTAAAAGACCTATAACAATCTGGATTGTCTAGTTTTCTGTATTTAAAGATTAGAAGAACATGAATGTTGTGCCAATTCTCTGGCATTTCCTTGAGATTCAAAGACTTATTGAAAATAAACATTAATAATCCAGAGAATTAACAATACAATTCAGTTTAATGGTCTGGGATATAAGTTGTTCAGACTTGCTGATTTGGAAATGTAGTAATTGCCCTTTAATGTCCCTCAGTTACTGTTTGAATTGAAAGTATTTCCTTTTATGTGATAAGACTATCTGTCTCATTTCACATTTTCCCAAATATAGAACATAAATATTTGTTAATCACTTTAGCATTATTAATAATTCTGTTGACAGTGACTCCTTCCCCCCTCCCCAATACTTGTGCACAATAAGAGGAGGGTTTTTACTCTTCTGGTCACTGAAGAATTCTTAACTAGCTGATTAAGTTTTTTTTTGCCCACATTATGCTGCCACAGAAGAGGCCAGGGATCTGGGATAAGAATTTTTGTTTATGAAGATGCTATTGTTGAAGATATGTCCTGTAATAAAAGCAAGCTTTTAAAACTGAAATTCTCCTGTGAAAGTTATACAACCCCCAGGGTACAATTCTGGGCTTCTCTTGCACAATCACAGGCACCAGTATTATGGTACCCTTTGCCCTTTCCCCTTCTAGCTCATCATATACCCCTTCCAGGCATTTAGAACTCTGATTTTAACTCATGTATATCAAGATTTCATTGGTTGTGTGGGTCCACAAAAAGACTTAGGTTGAGATCTATAAGGGTATTACTAAAGCAAACTTTAACATGTCTAGCTTCAAGAGCAGAATTCACAAACCCAATTTAGGAAGTTCCTTATTAAGTTCCTTATTAAGTGAACTGGAAGACATAGGAATCTGAAACTGGGATTCATAACATCTGCTGTGTTGGGAAGGGGCAGGAGGTGATGCCTAAGGTAGCCAATAGAGTGTGTCCGGAACGGAACTGTTCTTTTTGGACTTCTGTACCTATGTGCAACCCCAAATTGGGTATCTGTCCAAAACTGGGATTCATGGCCCAAAATTACTTCCTGGACTTAGATACCCAAGTGATTCCTTTGGCTAAAGACCCAAGAGTTCCTTCTCCCTTGAGGGGAGTACCTTCAGAGCCATGCTCTTTATTGCTTGCTTTCTTTGGTCCTATGAATCTCACATTCCTTTCTACCCAGCAGCCCAGCTTTAGTTGAAGAGGTGGAAACCACATCCCTGACTTATTTACAACCTTCTGGATAAGGTATTATCTTGGGAAATAGATGTGGGTTTGAACAAGGGATTCCTCAGGCTAAGGAGGGCATTGAACCCAAGTCTTCCTCATTTTCTGAGGAAGTGGTCTAAGCACTAGACTGTTTTGTAATACCTATTACTTATGGCCATGTCACCTATACCCAAATCAAAGCTTAAGAAAGGAACTACCACAAACAATTTCAACAGTTAAATTTTCAAAATGGAATAGGAGCTAAAAGCTGGAACAGGTAACTAGAGTTGTCAATCACAGTGTGTGGCACAAATCAATACAAGAGAAAGTGGAACCTGTTAAAAAAATTCACAAAGATAAAGGCACCCTGAATTTACTTTGAAGGGTTAGAAAAAAGTTACATGGTGTTTTATGAGTTTTTAAAGATTCAGAGTGCTGTGAAATAAAGATGAAACTCCAGCTTCTTTTAACCGATAGATAAGGATCTACCTAAATTGTGGTGAGCAAAAAAGAGCAGATTATTTTAGCCTTCTTGTGATGAGCCTGCTCTTTGTTGCTGATTGGCTGAGGGGCCCCTGTGGCCCTTGCCTCTTGCCTGAGAGGGCTGTCAGTGGCCACGTCCCTCACTGCTGATTGGCAGGGAGGGGCAGGGCCATACAATGGGTAGCCCTCTCAGCCGATCAGTAATGAGGGGTGGGGGATGTGGCCACCATTGAAGATGCTCCCTTTTGGGCCAGTGGCTCCCCACTCCCCGAGTAGGCCACAAGTCAAGACCACAGCAGCCATGAGGACTGCTGGCTCTCATTGGAGAGCCAGCATTTTATTTTTTAGTAAGTTTTTAATTTTTATTTTTGATTTTGCAGGTTTCATGGACAATGCCTGATTTCATGATTTCTGTGAAATCCACAAAATCATGAATTGCGTAGGTCCCTACAGATAGACTTCTCATATCTAGTCAAGGGAGACCCACAGAAGAGAAATCTTTAGAGTGAGTGAGTTGTGATACAAGGCTGAAGATGGATCTGTTCAGTTAAAAGTGATGCATCTTCTCTTTGTACAGTGTGAAAAAATGAAAATGAGACTGACTTGGCATCACTAGTCAAAACATTAGCTAGGCATCTTATCCTAAATTTTCTTTAAAATCCAGAAAAAGATCTTGGATCAGAGGTGCACCCTTTAGAGTTGGCACCTTCCTCCTGCATAATGGTACAAAACTTTTGCTTGACAGCTGCCTCTACATTTAATCATTTTAAAGGTAAATTAAACTTGACATCTCCATATTCATAATCTGAAAATGTTTTACCTCTAACAATGTGCACCTATACACATGCTGGACATCTGCTCCAATGTGTGCTAATTAGCACACGTTGGAGGAGACTCGATTAATGGAGTTAATTAACGTAATGCAGTCCAGCAGCCTCCGTGTTACATCTATTCAGCATCCCTGCACTTCATAAACTCATTCAATGAGCTTTAGTTCAAGTGCCCCTGCTACCATTTTGAAGCATCGGATGGTGAATATATGTGATCCTGCAGGCACTTTAATTAGAGTGGTTCCTTGGAGCCCCCAACCCAGAGCATGTGTATAGATACCCAATATGTGTAGTTTCATATGCATCAAGCCTAGTGTTTTGCCTAGTGTTTCCGTTTTGCCTTCTTCTCGTTATGTATTGCTTCAAGGATGTTTTATGCCATGCCAGTTTTCAGCTGCTCTTAACTAGTAACATAAATCCAGCTTCTTAGAAGAGAATATTTTTAAAGGCACTCAAAATGGTTATATTTTATTATCATGTTGCAAGGAAATCCAATTTCTATTTAAACTAGCCAGTGTCTCTTTTCAGATACTATATAAAAATACAATCTTTGAGTGTTTATAAAATACTGATTATACCCGCAACAAATTTAGTGTAATGTTAATTTAAACATGTCTGAAATGCCTGATACCTTGGATTTTTTCCAAGTATGGAAGCGAGAAAATGTTAAAGTTGTATCTAAATCTAGTACAACTGAACTCAGCAAAAGATAACTCGTGTTAGGTCTCTTGGGGCAAAATTTTTTTAAGCAAGGAGGTTGCATTTTTGTTTTCAAGTTTTCCTGATATTGTATACATGAACCTGGAAAGCCCAGTGTGGGTGTACTTTGAAGAGTTGTGAATCAAATCAACTCTGCAAAAAACTGCATGTATACTTTAAAATATCTGGAGACTGACCATCATCCAGTCCTGTTACAGCCTAATTATTTTGGTTCAGTAACCTAACTCCTCTGTCCCTAAGTTTTCTAATCTGTTTCAGAGGTTATATTCATGTTCTTGAAGTGAAAGATTGGTAGATCTTTGCTAGATTGGAGCCACTATATACATCTCTGAATGGTATTTTGAAGGTGAACTAATGTTTATATTTATATAGTACTGATATTTTTATCAAAAGATTTGGAAGTCCATTACAAATTGTTTATTACGTATTTCTCTTTGCTAAATAATGATCTCACTGCTGCAGCAGAGTATGTAATAGATCTCTAGTATGCCACAGATAAGCAGGCCTGATCAGAAGTGAAAAACTGGAATAATCCAGCATCATGTATGGCAAGTTGTATTTATTTCTCAATAAGACTTCTTCACTGCACTTTTCAGATGCAGAAGGAAAAGTATGTCAAAACAGCCAGCTGCTACAAGTAATGCTGACTATGCACCGATTTATCATCCCTTCCACAGACATGCTTCAAAAACTAATTGATCTATATCCTTTCTAATGCTTGCTGTAATTAAAGTAAGGTAAGACAGTTATGTTAATGACAAAGTTGTAAGTAAAGTATATGCAAGCTACTGGCTCCACATAAACAGGTATATTCATTTCTGTATTTCACAGTGCCCTAGGCTATAAACAAGTGAAATGGTCCTGATTGTTCAGAGTCAAAATCCAGGAAAAGAAGGGGCACAGCTCTTCCAAGCTGCACTGTTGCTTCTCTGCCAGGGAGAGCATGGAGCTTGACAAGCTTGTCCCAGTAATGACTGGCAATTAACTTGAATGAGCCATGACTAAATTTATAGAAATTTATACTGTCCCAGGAAAAAGTGTTAACACATTTTACCTCGCATACTTCACAGCTGCTTAAACTAGCAAAATGGACTGGTTTATCTGTAGGATCCCAGGACAAAAGTCTTTCTTTTGGGAGAAGTAATTTGTTTACACCCTTAGTTTTAGATTGTCTTCTCTGTGCAGACAAAAGTTCAGAGAATAAAGTGATAAATTTAAAAGAACTCCCTAGTGTAAAGAGATGCAACAAGTTCTGAAAATATATTTTTCACAAAAATTACAGCACATTTAAAAAAATCATGACGTTTTCCTTATTTTGCTGTAGATTTTTAGTCAGCTTCTTTGTATTCATAAGAATGAGAGTTTGGCTCCTCAGGCTTATAATAAAAAGTCTAAAATGATGAATACTGACAGTATTGCTCTCTTATTTAGAGATTCTAACTGTGAAAGAGAATGCTTAGCTCCTTTGGCTTTGGCAGAGATTTGCTTATAATTAATTGCACACAGGTGATGCGTGACCTACTCTTGGCTCAGTCATTTACTTAGTTCACCTTGTTTTAATTAATCCTTTCCTTTCTATTTTCCCCTCCTCACATAACTTCAGTTTGTATTGACTTCTGATTAATGTAGTGGTTCTCAGCCTTTTTAAACCTAAGGCACCTCTCACCTCTAGTTCTTAGTTTTCACCCATTTTTTGAATAAAGAAAAATAATAGTGCAAAACTTATGTTGCAAATAATTTAGAAGTCCAAAACAGATCAGAATATTTATAACACTACGGATTCCTATTTGAAATCTCTGGGCTTATCTTGTGAAACATATTTGCAAACCTTATAGTGGTAACATTTCGTGGTAACCCATGGCACGCTTAAAACAATCTCCAGGCACTCCAGGGTGCTACCACACCCTGATTGAGAATTACTGGATTAGCATCTTTGTGCTAAAAAAACTGCCATTACATTAGTATTTAGACTAACCTACTATTGTTTTATACATGCAGAATGTGGAGTGTCTAGAATATCAAGCAGTTGTTTAATAGTGTTTGGAATAAGTGGCATTTAATTTAAGGTCCTGCATTTCCCCTAGAACTGTAAAATATGGGGTTCAATTCTGACCTTATTTACATTGCTGCCAGTCTAACTATGAACCAAACAAATAACTGATTTATGGGTGCAATTTTATTCCAAAGCCTAGAAAACAATTCTGGTTTAAAATAACATGAATCATAATTTTAAGGAGATTAATAGCCATGCCAGTGAAGAAAGATCAGCATGTACTAAGAAGGGATTACACCATCATCTATAAAGGATCAGAACACAGATGTAAGGTTTAAGGATACTCCTCCTCCACAACTTTCTCCCTACAGAAATAGACACAAGGGCTAGGGACAGAAATTACACATAAACCAGTATAAGTGATTGGAAACAGGTTCAAATCATGTAACACAACAGAAGTTCAGTGCACATAAGCCACTTTCAAAATGGCCAAAACTGGTTTAAGACAAAGCCGGATGGATGTAGTATCACACTTAACTGATTTACGTTATATTGGTTTATTGAACTTCTGTCCCAGATATCCACCAGATTCAAGTTAACTCACAGCATCCCTGCAAACCTTGCTTCACAGGGTGGGTGGGCTAGCCATGGCCCAAGCTGTCTTTTCCAGCCAAGCAGGGAGGCATGCTCTAGCACCTCCAAGCTTCTGGCTTAGCCCACTGCAGGCATATGGCTGCATTTCTGGAATCAAAAGTGAATGTCTGTTCGCTTGCTTATTGGTTCAGTCTACACAGTTTAGACTAATGTGTGAAGACTCAATTGATTCAGCCTCAGGCTTTTTGACTGTCTGCACTTTGCCAAGGAGATTTGTTGAGATGTAGCATGGATTTGGTCTCTTCTGGAGACCTCAGTAGATATGGGCTGAGTCTGTGGGGGAGGCAAGGCGGGGCCTCTGCCCCTCACTCCTAAGCCACAGCCCTTCCCAGCCCTGCTGCTGCCTCTAACTCCTGACTGACTGTACCCCGCCCTACCAGTGCCTCTCACTCCTAACCTGAAGTCCCCTGCCCCCCCCAGCCTGGCCCATGACTCTCCCAACCCACAGCCTTTGTCCCCACCAGCCCTGCTGGTGCCCCTCACTCCTGACCTGCAGTCCTGTGCCTGTCCCCCGCCCCACCCCGTGTGCCTCACTCCCGACCCACAGCCCTCTGCCCCCCACAGCCCTGCTGCACATGAAGCTTGTGTGTGCATGCACACGTACACTCTCTCCATCCCTGTTTCTCTGTCTCTCTTACCTGCTGGGGCACGTACCCAGAGCATGTGATCCCCCAACAGCGAATCATGTTGCCCTGCTACTCCCAGACCCAAGCAGCCAAGCTGGAAGTGCCAGGAAAAAGCAGAGGCAGAGCAAAAATCTGGACATTTGCTTGCATTTTAAAAATTCACCTGGACAGGGGGCCAAAAAAGAGGACATGCTTGGGCAAACCTGGATGTATGGTAACCCTAATTGCATATAATTTTTATTTGATCCTGTAAAGTCCATAAGTTGTCTTAATTAGAATAAGTACACAATACCACACAAAATACAGCATACCTGCAGAAAAAAGTCCATAATACATATTTTTCTGAACTGATCTTCCATGTCTATACAATTATTTAGCATATACACGTAAAAATCAAGTGTTCTCTCTACAATACACATATGTTTCTTACCTTGAAAAGATCTCTCCCCAGCAGTGAATTTAACTGTAGGCATTTATACAACTATTCTTTTCACTACTCAAATTTTATCAAATGCATTGGTATTTGTAAAAATCCTATTTCTAATTGTCCTGCACTAATGATTTCAGAAGGTTATAGTTATGTATCAGAACCATAATCCAACCTCAGCTGAAGTCAGTAGAAGGTTTTTCCAATTACTTCTATCAGTGGATATTGGATTAGGCTCCAAGAAACAGCAAGCACATCAAGTTTTAGATCACAGGTAAACTGCCTTGTTTTCCTTAACAGTTCTCCACCTATCTGGATGCTTTAGAAAAGAAATCTTCTGTGTTTTCTGTAAAGATATGCTATTTTGTAAGGTAAGGACTTTTCATATAAAGGATTTTGCCAATGACATGCTAGCAACAGTTATACAAGGTGTTCATGTGCTGCCACAAATAGGACTGAGTGGCTTTCTATTTCTTAAGCTACCATTCATTAAAGAGGAATGATTGTATTCTTTAGATTTCCTTAAATGTTTAAACTTTAACAGATTTATGTGTAATGGCCTGGTGAAATTCCATTTAAGTTGATGGATGAATTCAGCTAATTTTTTATTAAGGCATAATTACAAGCCAAGTCCTTAAAGTATCTGAGTATCTTCATCTTTTGTCGAGATCAGAAGAAGCTGAAGATGCTAAGTACCTAGTAGCCTTGTTCCCAGTGTTACTGTGCAGTTTTCTCTTTCTGTGTTCAGTAAAGTTGAATGTTGGCAGTACACCAGCATGAAGAATCCCCCATTGCATTCACTAGGAATTCTATTTAAATTAACACAGTTGACCCAAGGCATTTCTTCTCTTTGCCCATTCATTACATGTTTGATGATTTTGCTTAGGGATATTTTTAATAAAGAGTCAACATTTGCCAAAAACAATTGCACACAAATAATTATTTAAAAAAAATAATATGCGATTTAATGTGATTTAACAAGGAGAAATGCAAAGTGCTGCACCTAGGGAGGAAAAATGTCCAGCACACCTACTGCCTAGGAAATGACCTGCTCGGCAGCATGGAAGTGGAAAGGGATCTCGGAGTCTTAGTGGACTCCAAGATGAACATGAGTCGTCAGTGTGACAAGTCATCAGCAAAGCTAACTGCATTTTATCATGCATCAGGAGATGCATGACAGACAGAACCAAGGAGGTGATACTTCCCCTCTATCGGGCGCTGGTCAGACCGCAGTTTTGGGTGCCACACTTCAAGAGGGATGTGGATAACCTGGAGAGGGTCCAGAGAAGGGCCACTCGTATGGTTAAGGGCTTGCAGGCCAGGCCCTATGAGGAGAGACTAGGGCACCTGGACCTCTTCAGCCTCTGCAAGAGAAGGTTGAGAGGCGACCTTGTGGCTGCCTATAAGTTCATCATGGGGGCACAGAAGGGAATTGGTGAGTATTTATTCACCAAGGAGCCCCTGGGGGTTACAAGAAATAATGGCCACAAGCTAGCAGAGAGCAGATTTAGACTGGACATTAGGAAGAACTTCTTCACAGTTCGAGTGGCCAAAATCTGGAATGGTCTCCCAAGGGAGGTGGTGCTCTCCCCTACCCTGGGGGTCTTCAAGAGGAGGTTAGATGGGCATCTGGCTGGGGTCATCTGAACCCAGCAAACTTTCCTGCCTATGCAGGGGGTCAGACTCAATGATCTATTGAGGTTCCTTCCAACCCTAGCATCTATGAATCTATTAATATATTTTTAAAACAGGGAATGACTGGCAAATGTTGGCTTAGCTATGACAATTATATTACCGCAAAAATGGCATATTGCTTCAGTCACATCTTATCTTTCCGCATGCAACACCTGTCTTTGCCCAAGCAGAGATGTGCATGTGAATTGTCATGAATGAGTGCACATGTGTTTTGCATGTGCACACTGAAGGCTTCTGGAAATTTACCATATAATGTTATGTGTAATACTGAAATATTTTCAACTAGCAATCTGACTATCTAATGTAAAAAGCCATATTTCTCAGGAACTATCTATCATATGCTATAACTATCCATGTGTAACTGTATCATCTATACAAATCTTGCTTGTTTACGGGTAGCAGTTTTTCAGCAGATTTTTCTAAAGCAAAAACTTGCCTTGGCACAGGGCATTTTCTTCACTGTCAGAATAATTTCAAGAAGCTCTACAAGAGTATGTCTTAAAATTTTGCAGTATATTAAACAGAATATAAAGAAAATGTAATAGCTTAGATCAGGTGTTGGCAACCTGTAGCCAGTGGGCCAAATCTGGCCCATAACGATTAAATCCAGCCTGCAGTTTGGTCTGTTTTACCAGCAGTGTGCTGAACCCTGTTGCAGATTAGCTGTGGGATCAAGCCTGGGTTTTTCATTCCACATTTTACTAGCAACTGGCTAATCCTTTTGGCAGTCCTTGTTCCTGCTCCAGCTCCATGGAGGGAGCTGCTCCCACCATACTGTAGTGGTGTTCACTGAATTAGCTACTCTGAAAGATGCAGGGAGAGACAATTTAGAGGACCTTGGGGGTGCAGGGTTGGGGGACAGGGAGCAAGTGACCAGCCCCTCAGCACAGAGCAGGAACTGGGGCACAGCAGGGGGTGAGCAGCCCACAGCACCAGCTGGGTCACAAGGAGTTGCCTATGGTGAGTAAAAGAGGTTGCCAACCGTTGGCCTAGATCTTTAGCTTGTATAAATTAGTGTAGCTGCATTGATTTAAGTGGAACTACTGATTTATACAGCTGAAGATCTAGCCTGATATAAAAAAGATTCCAGCACTGAGTCAACTCGCAGCTATTTGATAGCTAGCTAAAGTATATTTTTACAAAAAAGTAAACCAGAGGTGCTCATATTAATCCTGCATTTGATTTATGTATTCTGTTGTCCTGAGCTAGATAGAGGAGAGTACTTTGAAGAAGATACTTGGTAACAAGATTTGTAATCTGGAGTGAACAAAATACAAGTAATCAAAGTGCATCTTTGTCTTTCAGTCTTACTGATGTTGCCGCAAAACATTTTTATTATTGTTTTTCATTTACTAAAGGTATTGGATTACAGAGTTCTGGGTCATGTTCAAAATGGATTCTAAACTAACTAAAACTGTGGAGGAGTTGCAGGAACTGGCGAGAGCTAATGGTGAGGTGTTCCACTGTCGTCTACTTGACACAACTCAAATGTGAGTGTTAAGAGTTTTAATGTTTGGAAAACAAAACAAAAGTTGTATCTCGCTTTCCTAAAACTGACATAATTCTCCACAAGCTAGACCAGAACAAATCCCCAAAATCTGTATTGGCGACATGAAGAAGATCTTAGAGTTTACTGTTTAACCTAGACAGAGGGCTGGTACAGGACCACATTAGCCTTATAGGCCTTTTTCAGGGCTTAAATTGAATTTAAACCATTGACTTGAATTTAACCCAGTGTTGACCAGGGCAGATTTCACTCTGTGTAAGGAACAACAAAGATTTGTAGGGGATAAAAGATTTTGAAGCATTCCTTGAAATGGTAGTGAACAAGAATAATGTATGTTACTCAAGTTGAATACTAGTAAAAAATGGAAAGTTAGCACCAGCTTGTTTCATTTAATTGACCCTCTAATGTCTAAATCAATCTTTTTAGGCACAAGGCACCCCTAGATAGATTAATGGCACCTCTGGATAGATTTGCAGCACCCCTCAGAAAAAGGCCAGCTCTTAGTTTTCACTCTTTTTTCACTACAGAAAAATAGAGCAGTTTTTCTATTTCAAAGAATTCAGAAAGACCACAGCTATGAGTTTCTATTTGAAATCTCCAAGTTTATCTTGTGAATCATGTTAGCAAACCTAACAGTGCTAAAGTTGTGTTGCACCTGTTGCACCCTTGAAAGGATCTTAAGGCACCTCAGGGTGCCATGGAACCCTGGTTGAGAATCACTGATCTAAATTGTGTGTGTGAGTGCATTTTAAGTAAAAGACTTATCTTGTCAAGAATAGATCCTCGGGTGCCTTTAAAAATAGGGTGAATGTGATCTGTCCCTTATGCAGTTCTCTTCCAAAAAAAGAAGTTTTCCCATCTTTATGTGAATCAGCAACAGCACCAAGTCTGCTTTAAGTGTAAGTTGCAGTAAGTCATACAAATGAGGTAACTAGTTTCAGGGAAAAATTAAAATTGGTTTTGTTAAAGCAACTTGCATTTTACTATTTTATTACTTCTTTTTTTTAAAGAAATTCTCGGGATTGGTCCCGGAAGCTGACACAGCGGGTAAAGCCCAACACCAGCAAGAAACGGAAAGTCTCTCTCCTTTTTGATCATCTAGAGCCAGAAGAATTGTCAGACCACCTCACCTACCTTGAATTTAAGTCTTTCCGAAGAATATCAGTAAGTTATGAGCTCTTGATTGGTAGGGTATAGGGGCATTTATGTTCTGTTGTAGCAATGTCTAGAAGCATGGGCCCTGAGCAGCAGCTGTGGGTCAAAAAGAGCATTAGTCAAGAGGTTGCCAGGTGGGAAGAAGGGATCAAAATACTGACCTGAATTCTGGAGGGATGGTCAAATAAATGGGGAGGGGGAAGATAATTTTGACCTTCTTAACAGTTAGCCAGCAAATGGGAAAGTGTGGGAAATGGAGAGAATAAGGAATAAGTAATCTCCTGTCATGCAAAACAGTATTTATGCAGACACAAAATATTTGGGGTGATGGAAGAACAGAGCAGTGGAAGAGCTAGACCATTTTTTCTCAGTTCCTCTGAGATCTTAGCTGTCACCACAGAGAACCGTGCCACACTTCTGCACCATAGAAAAAGAGCTTCTGGATGGCTTTACAACCCATTAAATGTTGACCTGTCATTTGTTTTGAACAGGCTTATTGGTACTATAGTTGCCCACTTTCTATTTTCAGCAAGGAAGTGTTGGGAATACAGCAACACTTCAAAACATTAAGTTCTGGTATGGTTAATATGTGAGATACTAGAGTGCATGGCAGGACTAGAAATACAAAATGATAGCACAGAAGTAGGGTGCTGAGTTCAATCTACTCCATGATCCCCAGAAAGTTATACTGTATTGCTTTGAAAGATGATATGATGAGGTGCATATCCAGAAGAACTAACAGACTCTTTTGAATGGTTGCACTAGTTTACATTTTGCAGTTAATGGGGATTATGAAGATTGTAGCAGATTTCACATAGTTTAAGGGCTTGGTACCTGACTCCTCTCATGTATAATAGAATCAGAGACGTAGGGCTGGAAGAGCCTTCCATAGGTCATCTAGTCCAATCCTCTACCCAAAGCAGGATCATCCCTATCCAAACCATTCCATACAAATCAGAAACCTTGCAGCAAAACTATACAGTCAACCCTGACACAACAAGACACAGAAACCTAACCTGCCATATGTAAAGCAGGGCGACCACAGCAGCCAATGTACTGCTGTTGTAAAGGTTGTTAATATGTGCTCAAGAAATCCCAGGAAGAGGGTCATGCCTCCTGCTACTGAGGAAGCAAAAATCCTCGTAGTCCTTACCAATCTGACCATGGGGTAGAATTCCTTCCTGACCCGAAATATGATAACTGGTCTGACCCTAACTGGAAGGGCAAGAACCCCTAGGCTGGAACCTCTGGCTTTAAGTCCCAGTAGAAATACACATAGAATCATAGAAAATTAGGTTTGGAAGGGACCTCAGGAGGCTATCTAGTCCAAGCCCTTGCTCAAGGCATGGCCATCCCCAACTATACCATCCTAGCCAAGGCTTTATCTACCCAAGTTTTAAAAACCTCTAAGGATGGAAATTCCACAACCTCTCTGGGTAACCTGTTCCAGTGCTTTGCTACCCTCCTAGTGAGACTGTTTTTCCTAATATCTAACCTAAACTTCCCTTGCTGCAACTTGAGAGCTTTGCTTCTTGTTCTGCCATCTGTCACCACTGAGAACAGTTTAGCCCCATCCTCTTTTGAACCACCCTTTAGGTAGTTGAAGGCTTCTATTAAATCCCCTTTTAGTCTTCTCTTCTCCAGACTAAATTAGCCCAGCTCCCTCAGCCTCTCCTCATAACTCATTTGCCCCAGCCCCCTAACAATTTTGGTTGCCTGCTGCTGGACTCTCTCCAATTTGTCCACATCCTTTCTGCAATGGGGTCCTAAAACTGGACACAGTACTCCAGAAGTAGCTTCACCAATGCTGAATAGAGTTGGATAATCACTTTGCTTAATCTGCTGGCAGCAGTCCTACTGATACAGCCCAGTATGCTGTTAGCCTTTTTCGCAACAAGGTCACGGTGTTGGCTCATATTCAGTTTATTGTCCAATGTAACTCATGTCCTTTTCTGCAAAGCTGCTGCTTAGCCAGTCAGTTCCTAGTCTATACCACTGCATGGGATTGTTCCATCCTAAGTGCAGGACTTTGCACTTCTCCTTATTGAACTTCATGAGATTTCTTTTGGTCCTCCAATTTGTTTAGGTCTCTCTGCATTTTAGCCCTACCCTCCAGCATATCCACTACTCCACCTAGGTTGGGGTCATCCATAAACTTGCTGAGGGTACAATCCATCCCATTTTCCACATTGACACATCCCAGTGAAATTTCCCAGCCTTCTCTGCAGCCAATACCTGTGGAACTGAAGTCATGAATTTATGCACATGCTACTACCTTCAGGCAATGATAACACTTAACATTTATTTAATAGTTAATGTTCTCCAGAGTTCTGTGCAAACTTAATTAATGATTAATGGGCATAACAAGTATTATGCACAGTCAGTCTTGCTTTCTTCATTATATACAGGTAATTACTTAGCAGTGGGATGCTGACTTCTCTATATTTTACTAGTGATAAACTAGGACCAAAATATAGTTTACTGGAATCTTGGACAGGGTTGGAGATTATTATCCATGAAATAGAACATCTGTTTAACTCCTTACAGAACATGCTTTTGAAACATGAAGCCTACATTTTTCTAACAGTGACTAAATTAAGAGATTATGCAAATGAAATTATGTAATATTAGCATGAGAGTAACCACATATAAGGTCAATCACTTTAAGGTCAGAGGAGACCATCAGATCATCTGTACTCCCATCTGTGACACAGGCCAGTTATTTACACTTAGTAACTGACTAAAATATATCTTCTAGAAAGGCATATTTCAGTTAAGACTAGGCAATATAACTTCTTGTCTTAAATGAAAATATGGCAAGTCTCCCCCTTCCTTATTTCTCATTTGGATTTCTCTGGCTCCAGATTTCAGCCATTCCATCCAATTATACTGATACCCAAGTTAATTATCTGATCATGCCCAGTACATATTTGCACAGTGACTTGAACAAACATTGCAAGAGCCACTGCCTTTAAAAGGTTTTGAGTTCAGCAGTATTATTAGAATGGCATAGTAACCAGTTTGACTGGTGTCCAAAAAAACCTATGTGGGTCCAAAAAAAAATCACAAAATAACTCCTGGGCCCAGGGCTGTTCCTGCATTCTATAATAAAAAAGGTAATTTGGTAAAATACAAAGCCAGTCCTGGGACAAAAGCCAACACAGAGGGCTGCCTCTTCCAGGGTGAGTGCCCCAGCACCTAAGCTAGAGATTCTTAACCAGAGTGCCCAAGGTGCCCTAGGGTGCCTTGCGACCTTTTCTGAGTGCCACACAACATTAGCACTGTTAAATGTGAAGACATGATTCACAAGATAAACCTAAGTTGAAAGCCATAGTGTTAAAAAATATTCTGACCTCTTGGGGGAAAAAAAGTTAAAATTAAAACCAGCATTTTCTGAGGGGTGCTTCGAGTCTAGAAAAAGTTGAAAACCATTGAAATAAGCTGGAGTCATACTCTTTGACCCAGTGAACCTTGAATTCTTATCTGCACAGGGGCACAGCTCCACAAGAGTGGTGCAGAGTGGCTAATAGGTTAGATAACATTTTGTCCCACATTATAGAAAAACATGCTGGGGGCATTATTTTTAGAGAATGTGCTGCTGATAAAAACTGATGGATCTTATTCATTATTATAGTGAAACCCAACATGAGACAATAATTATAATTAGTTATATAATTTGGATAATTTTTCATCATCTAGAGTGGCTGCTCAGGTTCCACATTATTGCCAAATCTGGCTTTGGTTCAAAATTCAAACAATGGATATAAGTACATGTAATATGTACTGTGTAATCTCATAGACAACTCTGCTCATTAGCGTTAATATTTCTTCTTTAATTTAACAAAAGGAAAAATGCCAGGGTGTCTGTTGTCATCTGTATTTTTTGAACCCTTAATAGCTCTTATTAAATTAAACAAATAGGTTAAAAGAAGGTAGAATGTGGGGAATGTGCAGAAGCTTGATGATGTATAACTTTTTCTTCTTGGTCTATCCCTTCCAGCCCACTCTAACAAACTAATGAGAGGAATTCATTGTCCACTCTCATTATAAACTAATTCTTTTTAATAAGAATTATTTTGGAGGCTGTGGACACAAGCCTTCCATCACATGATTTCTATTTTGGATTGCTTTAGGTGAGGCAGATACTTGAGTATTAAAGTCGACTTTAAATGTTAAGAAATGGCCAAACATTGACTCAAAATAGGAAGTCATTTTAATGAATATCCTCTTGTGTTGGTGAACAGCCTTGATGACCATTCTTCGTTGGTTGTTGTATTGTAAGGGCACACTGTAACACATTAGACCATTTTCTAGTTAAATTAAATAAGACTCACAAGTCACAAGGGGAAAAAAAAGCCTTATAAGCCTGGTTCCAATATAACTTGCATTAGGTTTGCAGTGACTTCATTGGAGTTATTTCTGCTTTTATACCACTGTAAGTGAGGTCAGAATTGTGCCTTGATATGGACATTTGAGAGAAGTCTTAAGTTTCTTAAAGAAAAGCTATAGCACCAAGGGCTGAATTGGACCTTTCCTGAGGTTTGGATTCAATGAATCCATGAAGCCACAGGAGGTATGGTAAGTATATCCAAGCCCCTAGTACCTATGAGTGCAGTCAGAAATGCAGCTCCCCTTTGCAACTGAGAATGCTTTACAGGAAGTGCTCTGAGTTACAAGGATCCCCTGCACCAAACAGAAGTTCACTGTTGGTTTGAGCGGGGAGGGAAATCTAGCTGTTGGCTGCCAGCCTGCAGCCCATTTCCCCTTGCAATGGCCCCTCCTCCCTCCAAGCCTGTTGCTGTTTTCAGAAGTGGAGGGAGCTTCTGGATCCCCAGTCCTCACTGAAGTGTGGGGTGGGTGAATTGGAGCCCCCCACCTTCCTCAGCATACCCACCCACCTTCTGGTGGGGGCTCAAAGCCCCCCAGACCAAACTTCCTCCACCCCCTTTACCCCACTCCCATTCTGGAAACAGCTCAGAGGCTGGCAGGCAGACAGCAGTTACAGAAGATGCTGTGTTTTGAAACATCTTCATCTGACCTCTCATGAAATGAGGGTTCAAATTTTCACCCAATTGGCCATTTTTTTAATGGTCTGCAGCCGTGCACTTGTATTTGGTCATGGCTATAGACCGCTTTCTGTGGCTAGATCGTGCAAAAATTGCCACTTCTGTCCGTACCCTTTTTTTTTTTTATAGAAGTATCTGCAGCATTTGAGAGAAGGCTCAAATCAAAACTAACTCCTCTGAAAAATTTGTAATGCAGAACTAAAGTCCTTGTCTGTCTCCTGACCCTTGTTTCCTTCCTCATTGTCTTGGAGACCTGACTGACTTCCAGGACCACTCCTCTTTCTTCCATGTATTCACTTGTGGATGTGGGTCAGACACAAGAGACTTTGGCTCAGCCACCTATTCCAAGATAAAGTAAATTAAGCTTTAGCAGACAGGGCTTCTGCCTCTTGGGAGGATTGACATAAACATCAATCACACCACTATTTCTGTTTCTCTTTGTTTTCTGTGCCTCCCCATCCCTAGTGACAACAGTTCTTATCTCCCCCTCTCCCTTTCTTTTTCTGAAAACTAGCCTATGGACAGATATAATTTTTAACTAGTTGCAAAGAGGGTGTTGCCACTTGGAAACTCGCATTAACTGTTACAATGCAACTGATACATGGATGATCATGCAACTGATGCAATGCAGCAGATACAGAGGATCATGCCATTCAGTTATGGCATGATGGAAACCAAACACAAAGTTATTACGTATCTTTTGTTTTATCACACCATTAATTGAATGTAAGTGTGGCCAGGTTAGATAAATCTCTGTCACTTTAACCTTGAATGAAACATGGAGCATGCCAACATAAAAGTGTTACTGTGAAACAGCTTATACCAGTACCATTTTATATTACCATATTTTCTTGCATACCACCAGAATTAAGGAAAAAAGAGCACCCCCTCCCAAACAAACAAACAAACAAACAAACAAACAAACAACAAACCAATCTTTCCAGGGTTATGGTTGCATAGATCAGGGACAGAGCCTAATCTTTAGTTTACTCACCTTTAATTTTCTTGCTCAGGCAAAAGCCAGAGCTTTCACCATTTCATAGCTGAACTGTCAGCAACTCTTGGCTATTCACACAAAAGCTGAAATTGTTGCTGCTGCTGAATCTATGGCTGGGATCTAAAATTTTGAAAAAAGCTAAAAACAGTCTGCAGGGCTGTGAAATAGAAGAGAGACCAGAAGTGGCCAGTGAAAGGAAAGCTTGGTCTTTGATCAAGCTTTAAAAAGGAGAGTGGATTGTTAACATCTATTGAGTGAAGAGCAATTAAAAGGAATCAAGTAGATTACAATGAACCATGAAGTCATTTAATTCCCTCAGGGCTGCCTAAACAGAAATGCTACTGCTGCTATTCCAGGAAGAAAAAAAAATCAACTTTCTCCTTGCTTAAGAAGCAAAACCCAGTTTTGAAAGGCTAATTTTTGGCAAATGGGTGCATGTGCTCCTCTGTGAGTAGATATGGTAATATAATTGGTACATCTCTTAGTGATGATGGACATTTTTTGCTCCCTTTTTATGGATGCCTTTTTTAACTTGGCTCTGTGATTACATAGGGGTATAAATATTAATTGTCTTACTCAAGCTAGGAGAGCTATGACAGTTTACATTTAATATTCTAATATGAAATATTATATTAATATTGTAGATCTTTTAATGTGTAGCTAATATGCTACTTCCTAATATTTAATTTAGCTACTTCAGAGAGTATCCTTTGGAAGGGCTACCTATAAGAAAACCCAATGTGTATTCACTATAACTCATTGATGCTAGAATTCCAAAAAAATATTTTTTGCTTATCCCATAAAGACCTCTGGCTTTTGAATAGTGTATTTCTCAAAGATGCTAGCATTTATTAAAAGCTGTAAATTAAAACCACACATACCTTTCCTTTTATGCTTAAAGGCAGACAAGGATGGAAACTGAAACACTAGAACTTTAGAAAATAAACCTACTATACATATTCATGAATATGTATTTAACGAGAAATAGTACAGATTGTGGGCTGAGGGAGAAGTTGCTCTTACATAGGAGGTATCTTAATTGGTATACAGTTGGTTGAGACATCATATCTGCCTTCTGTACCAGCTGTTTTAACTAAAACAGATCTTTTTACACATACCTACCACTCGTGAAAGGTCCTTTGAGAAGCTTCAACTGGTTCCCAGATTGCAACCCCTCTCCTTTGTGCTGGGTAGAGCTTTTTATAGGGATGAAATCTCTCCCATACATGTCTGATGAATAGTCTGTCCCAGTATTTCACTTTGCACATAAATACCGGCACACAAATACCATGGAATACACAAAGTCTGGATGAGTTAATTTAGTTTGGTATTTTAGTTTTCAGATTATCAGAACTACATTGTGAATAGCTGTGTGAAGGAGAATCCAACAATGGAAAGATCTATTGCTCTTTGCAATGGTATCTCCCAGTGGGTACAACTAATGGTTCTTAGTAGGCCAACACCTCAACTTCGGGCTGAAGTGTTCATCAAGTTCATTCATGTTGCACAGGTCAGTTTAATTTTGACACTTTTTGCATTTGTCATTATTCCTCTCTCTTTCTTGATTCCATAGTAAATGCTCAAGTATCACTTTTTCTCTTTCCTCAGTTGCACTAGAGCTCTCTCATGATACTCATATTACATTCTCTTCTTGCCAGAGTTTCCTAGAGCTGTCACTAATTTAGGGGCTCTGTTTACCTGCCAACTCTTCCTTTTCCAGAAAATGAACAGCAGCAATATGTTTGGTCATTGGTAGTGGCCAGATGCCTTGCAAAATTACCTTATTTGACAGCCTGGAGTTGTCCTACTATCAGTTTTGAACTAAACTCAGGCCCCTACGGGATATTCAGTTAAAGGCACAATGGGATCTGAACTGCAATCCCAACACTTTACTCTTTCTGCCATGCCACATGTGCATGGCAGGAAGTGCGATTGTGGGATCAGGGATAAGATCCCAATAGCATCATATTGCCAGTGTGAGAGAGAGAGGGATCAGGCTCCCCCTTCCCCAGTAAGCTGGGTGCTTGGTGGAGCTCAGGGCTTAGGTGTGATCCCACAGCTGGGAGCCTGGAATCAGCTGATTGGGGCTTCCTACCACTGGAACACATGGAGCCCTTAGGACTGGCCACATGATCAGTTTATGGCATGATGGGAACCAGACACAAGGTTATTACATATTTTTTGTTTTATCACACCATCAATTGAATGAATGTGTGGTCAGGTTACTACTTAAGATGCGATTTACTGGTTAATCACTTTTTAAGTGTAATGTCTGCAGGGGCCTCACTGTCTGCACTCCCAACTTAGATGGTGTACAGCATTTCTTATTTAGAGAAAAACTGTGGGTGGGAAAGAGGGACCAGATCCTCTTCTATTTGTTAAGCATCCAAATAGACTTAAGCACTTTTGTGTGATTCTATTTCATGGTATTCAAGTCACTGAAAATTCATTAATACATATACTTTTGTAACAGTATAATTTTGTCCATAAGATTGAGTCACAAAAAAGCAGCAAGGAGTAGGAGGACCCACATTTTGTTATACCAGTTTTTCAGGATAGAATAGGATTGCATTTGGCACCTCACAAGTGGAATAGAATATGACCCAAGATGGCTATGATCTTCTGATGGGCAGAAGTGAACAACATTGTTAGAGTTTTCATTTTTGCTTTGAGGAGAGTCCTTTTTCTCTATTTGTATTTGTAGAATATAATACCAGTACCTACCACACAACAGAATTACCTACTTACAACCCCCACCAATGAGAGCAATAGTTTGGTATCAAAATGAATAAGCATGAAATGGATACAACGTGCTAACAAAAAATGAAGTGCTAGTAATACAGTTTGTGGGATCCCCCTAACACTAAGAATATTTTAGATTCTGATTTTTTAAAAATTAATGATAGTTCACTGTCTGTCACTTCAGTGACAGACATTAAGCAATAAGTATTGTTTGTTTGTCAACACAGAAGCTTCACCAGCTGCAAAATTTCAACACATTAATGGCAGTAATTGGAGGTCTCTGTCACAGCTCCATCTCCAGACTCAAGGAAACAAGTTCTTATGTTCCTCATGAAGTCAATAAGGTCAGTATCACAAACAGACATGTTAGATAAACAAGCAAATAATTTAGTTCCCTCCCCACAACCTTAATTATGCTTATGCACTGAAGTCCATGTTGTTATGACAGAAAACAGCAACAGAAAGCTTTTCCCTTCAGCTTACAAGGTAGTGAAGTCAAACCCTTCCTGTACCTCCCCCTGTCCACCTATGAATACATGTGCATGTGGTAGTGAAATTAAATCCTTTCTGTACCACACACACTTTTCCTTTAAGTAAAAAGTAATTTGCTAACATTTTCTTTCTAATATTCAGAATAGACAGGTAGTATTCCAATTACAGATGTTACAACTATAGCATAGCATGCATGACTGGATAATAAAAAATCTCAGAACCTAACTCAAAGTCAGCTTCAGTGGGATTGACTGTATTTACCTGAATCCAAGATGACTTAGACCTTAAGATGACCCCAAATAATTAGATTCTATGGATTGTCTTAAATTTGTCCCCGCTAGTACTGCAGAAGGGAAGGCAGCGGTAGGGGGGCACACAGCTTGCCCCTTGCTGCCTTACCCTGCCCTTGCTCCCTTACCTCTCCTCTTGTGCTTGACCTCTGAAGCCTCAAGCCCCTGTCCTTCCCCTTCCCCATCTCCCTTCCATGCCACTTGTGCCCCTCTACATCCTCTCTCTTCCCCTTCACTCCTCTCCCACTTACCATTGTTCCATGCCAACAGGCTCCATCCTGGGGCACAGAGCATGGTGCACAGCTCCAGTCTGGCCCCACGGCAGTGGTGGAGAGCCAAGCACTGCTGCTCTGGGGCCAGGCTGGAGCTTTGTTCCATGCTCCAGGCTAAAGTATGGACAGTCTACCGGTGCCCAAGAAAGAGTAAAGGGGGAGGGGGGGGCAGAAGCAGCAAGCGGGGGTGGGGAGAGGGAACAGGGGAAAGGGGTGATGGGGAAGGGAACAACAAGGGCCAAGGTCGCTGAGGGGAGAGACAGGGGGTGCTGAAGTGGCAGGGGGTAGGCAGCTCTGGAGCTGCAGCACCTGCCCCTGCCACCTTTTACTTGAATCCAAGATGACTTTATCCCCCACCATGTTAAATGGGGGGGGAAAACCTCATCTTGAAAATGAGTAAATACACTACCTGCCTACATGTGACTTATGGAATGCTAGTATAGTCCTCTACATTTGTATGGAGATCCTTGGTGCAGGATCAGGGATCAAAACTGGCAGAGACTTTTCTCTACCCCCTTGTACTACAGAATTGTTCCCTATGCCATAAAAGTTGTCTAGTTCAGATTCAAGTAATACAAATGAAAAGATTTTTGTTCCTTCTCCTTGGTAAATGTGCAGTGTAATACAGAAGAATGCTAGTGATCCATAGCAATTTTCATTATAATGCCTGTTTTTCCAACAACTTGTAACATGACCAAGCTGGAAGGGATTTGATAAGCAAGGTTTAGAGTGCTGCATATCTTTAAGAAAGTTGCTTAGTACAATTTTATTATTTTGTTCAGTTAAAAATGATCAAATACATACTTTTCCTCCCAGGTCTAATAACAAAATGATTTAATATTTATAAATTGTGAATACAGTCCTTAGCAGACTAGTGCCTTTTACTAGTTAGCCATATCTGAAGCCAGAAATGTTTCATGTTAGGTACCAGAGGATCTTGGCTCTTGAATACTCTTTCACCCAGTCAACACTTAATGAAAGGTACACGTTTATAGCATAAGCCAGAATTACAGCCTTCCACAACTGCTCAGTTATTTCATTTCACAGAACTCAGAGCACCCTCACACTTATTAAGAGATACAGATTTTGGAGGGATAAAGCATTCTCCACATAATTGTATTCTGATAATACCATTGTAGGATCAACTTGATATATTCTCAGTCCGGAAGTGATTTTTTTGCATACATATTTGATAGCAATTAAATGACTTTTCTGATCAAGAAATTCCAAATAAGCTCTGGTAAAAGTCAGGAAAGAAAAAAATGGAGGATGGTGACTTTAGCCACTATTTATTAAGATATGTAGCTACAAATCATACTCATTTGTGAAGCTAAAGTTGATGGATTAAGTGCTTTTTAATATTATTAAATTGAAGGGTGTGTGCATAATAAAAATAGTTGTAAGCTAATTTTCACTTTAAAACATTTGACGTTTTAGTCTTTTAATTTTAGTTTGGAGGACAAAACAAGTCTTTGAAAAATAATATGGGTTATCCCTATACTATCTGAAGACAGAAAATAGTTATAATGAACAAAATGATGAACACTTAAGACATTATATTAATTTTTCCACTCTGTTTCTTTTTCAGGTGTTTAATGAACTGACCGAACTGCTTTCATCTTATAGGAACTATGACAACTATCGACGTGCCTATAACGAGTGCACTAACTTTAAGATTCCAATTCTTGGGGTCCACTTGAAAGACCTGATCTCCCTCTATGAGGCCATGCCAAACTACTTAGAGGACAAAAAAATTAATATACATAAACTGTATTCTTTATATAATCATATAAATGAGCTGATACAACTCCAAGAGATGGCACCTCCCCTAGAAGCTAATAAGGACCTTGTTCATCTGCTCACGGTAGGTCTGTAAAATCACAAAAACAGTAGGGCTGTGCAAAGCTTCAGTCCCTGATTCGATTTGGGGGTTGAATCTTTGAATCTGAGTCAAATCAGAGGACCCTTTAATCTCTCCAAATCGAATCAGAACCTTCCAAATCGATTCGGAGAGATTCAGAAAGATTCTGAGATTCTAACATAGACACAGCTTCAAATATTTTTTCTACATACCTCTAGGTAGCAGGGGCTCGTGAATGCTGCAGTGCTGGGGCACATGGAGTGTCCCACAGAAGCGTGGCGGGCTCTCCAGCGCGCTTGGCAGCAGACCCAGAAGTGAACCAGAAGCACTTCTGGTCCACTTTCGGGTCCATAGGGGAGTGCACTGGGGGGCACCCCCACAACCTCCCAACTCGGTGACTGGTGCCTCCTGGGTCTGGGGGGGCACCCGGGGTCCCCCTGCAGCTGATTACCAAGCCAGGGAGGTGGGGGGGGGCCCATATGCTCCCTGGCAAACCCGGAAGTGGACCAGAAATACTTCCAGTCCACTTCCGGGTTCACTGCCAAGCACATGGAGGGCCCCTTGTGCTCCTGTGGGACATTCCATGTGCCCAGCATCGCAGCGATCGTGAGCTGCGCCTGCTACCTCAAGGTATGTAAAAAAAACTTTTAAAGCTGTCTCTGTGTCTTAATTGCTGATTCTCTGAATCAGCATCGAATCTTCAGATTCGGATTCGGCTGAATTGAATCAGGGACAGTGATCCGGATCAACAAATCGAATCGCTGTTCCTGATTCAGGCTGAATCTGAATCCGAATCAAATAGGATCTGCTTCGCACACCCCTAAAAAACGCTTCTAATTTTTTTTTTTAACTGACTTCATGCCATTCTCAAGTATTTAAAGCTAAGTATATATAGGC